GAGCAAGGACAGTGCCCCACTTGTCACAGGTATTCCTCGGCCTCGGTGTCTGTGGTGGTGGCACCAGGTCAGGTCTCGTGTGCCCAGGGATGTGGCAGACCTCCAGCCCCAGTGTCACTGTTAGGGAGTTTGGCTGCCCGCATGAAGTGGAGGTTTCTCAGGTGTGCTGGGTTCATCAGTGTTACCCCTGTGCTAACAAGGCCGTTGCCAGTGGCTTACGCAAGGAGCACTAATGTGCCCCAGGCCCAAAACCCACCAGGAGCTCATGGTTGAAGCAGTTGTGGGTGTTGCCAATCACCCTCATGGGTCGTGGTCAAGCCGGGAATTCAGGGTGCCCAATAATCCTGCTTCTAGCAATGATGGAGGAGAACAGCTCTGGGGAGGCCCCGGCTCTGCTGCCAGCTCTACCCTGCTACGACACGATGGGGGTGTCCGAAAAGACGGAGCTGATGGATTCCGAGTCTGACTTGAGCTGCAGGACCTTGGGGTGCTTGGGGTCGGGGAAATCCTCGCTGAGGGCCAGGTGGATCTTGCCATTCTGTGTCTCCCGGACAGGCTCGAGGAAGACCACGTGCTTGTTGGTGCTGACCTTGCGGTTTGGCCCATCGGTGGCAGGAGGGGTGGTGCTGAGGATGGAGGACTGGGCGCTGCACTCCTGCGGAGGGCTGAGAGGAGCTGGCTTCTTGCAGCAGCTCAGGCAGCGGCAGGGCGTGAGGTACAAGTACATGAGCACAAGCAGCAGGCTCACGATGCACCCCAGCAGGGTCGTGAGGCCGGTGCTGAAGGTCTCCCCCTCCGGCTTGGGGTAGTGGACCGTCACGTTGACTTCGCACAGCCTGCTGAAGTTGCGGGGGCTGTTGATGGCCAAGCCCACGTAGACCCCAGAGTGCCAGGGCTTGGCCGCTGCGATCCTCAGGCTGCCGTTGTGGTAGACCTCCAGGGAGTGGTTGCTGTTCCCCGGGTGTTTGATGGGCTCGTGGTGAGGGGAGATCCACATGTAGGTGGTGGCCCCGGGTGGCAGGCTGGTGTTGCAGGCGAGCAGGAGGGCCTGGCCCACCATCACAGGGAAGGGCACTGGGTGCACGTCTTCGGGGCCCGCCGAGCAGTTCTCAAACATGTGGCTGTATTTGAGGAACTTGATCAGGGACCGGGGCACATTGTCAGACACCTTGCAGGTGTGTTCCTCGAAGAAATCCTTCACGGAGTTGAAACCTCTCTGCTTCCAGCGCTGGAGCATCAGGTAGAGCGGGCAGCTGCACCTGACGGGGTTGTTGTGCAGGTACAAGCCGTTCCTGATGTTTTCAGGCAGAGCTGCCAGCTCCTCCACGGGGATGCTGCTCAGGCTGTTGGAGGAGAGGTCCAATATGCGGAGGCTGTAGTTTCCCAACCCCTGCACTGCGTGGAAGGGGAAGGTGGTCAGGTTGTTCCAGCTCAGGTAGACTTTCCGCAGGCCGCTCAGCTTGGCGAAGGCGTTTTCATCCACTCGCGTAATGCGGTTGTTGTAGAGCAGCAGCTCCTCCAAGCTCACCAGCGCGTCAAAGTAGTGAGTCTCGACAGCATGCAGGTGGTTGGAGGACATGTCGAGGTGCCGCAGGTAGGAGGCATTGTGGAAAGCCTGCGGAGAAATGTCCTTAATCTGGTTGTGGCTGATGTGGAGAGCCTCGAGGTGCGGGAGGGCAGCCAGCCAGTGGTCGCGGAGCTGCGTGAGGGCGTTGTGGCTGAGGTCCAGCGTGGTGGCGGTGGGCGGCAGCGCCCGGGGAACGCGCTGCAGCGTCTGCCGGCTGCAGCTCAGCAGGTCCGAGGTGCAGATGCAGGCGGCGGGGCAGCTGCG